TGTTTTGTATTATTTAAATTGGTGATAGCAATAAATATTGACGATGTCATTGTAAGTTTTTAGACGTTTTAATATTATTGTTGCTCTACAAAAAATCGATTGACCCTAATGATGTACTTATTTTTAAGAACACTATCCATACTTTAATATTATAAATGTGAAAATGTGTTTGTTTGTCCTTTTTTCACATCGCAACAGACTGACGGGTTTTAGTGGTTTATTGTGTGAAAATAGTTAGAGGGCTGGAGAGTGACATAGACTTACTTTTTACCGCAGGATATTATCTCATTCCAACGGAAAAACACATTATAATACAACTCACAACAACTCATCATACCTATGTACATATAATATATAGTCTATATATTCCATACTAACCGTTATAACGTGCCTAGGGACGAACCCGAGCGAAGCGCGGGTGAGCGACTAGTATTTATATAAACAAATTGGAATATTTGTTTGTTTGTCATATTGAATAGCCGTAAAAATATAAAGAAAAACTATAGCAGGTAGATAGATATATGAATTTTTTTTTATTACAATCGTAGACCTCTATACTAAAATCATGCATCAAAAATATTATTGCTCATAATATTATTTAATTACGTTATTAGATATATTAAAATATAATCGTCGTCTATTTACTGATACCTAAATGATTACACCTTCACATAGAAGGTTGAATAGTTGTTAGAAATGTATATTTTTTGCGACTACTTTACATCTATTGTTCATAGTATTGCTATTACCTCGCATCTAAAAATGATTGTATTAAATTTAAAGGCTTTATCACAGCCGTGTTACTTAACTAATGGGTTTTTTGTTTAACACTGAGAAAATCTTATATAAATCCTATTTAATGCAAAAAACCTGTCTCTTAGTTTCTTTTTTTTATAAAAATCCAACGATCCTTCTACATCTATACATATAATAAAATTGTAACTAAGCCGAATCTGTACAGTAGATATTTTTTGGAAAATCTTATTGAAATAAACATTATTATCGATACAGAGGCCGAATCTATAGTTTTTAGAATTTTTGTCTGTCTGTCTGTGATGTTACCGCATCACAGAAAAACCACTGGAGAAATTTAGATGAAACTTGGTATGGTGATAGTTGGTTATCCGGGTCAATCATAGGATACTTTTTACCGCGGGAAAAATCTAATTTCCGAGAAAAAATACAAAAACTGCAATGTAAGAGTATACTAATATGTAAAAGAATTTGGTTTTTGGTCATCTGCGGAGCCGCGGACAATGCTAGTCTACTTATATTTTTGAATTTACATGTAATTTTTCTAATAACGGTGGCGTCACGTTTCCTTAACTTTAACTATACCTACATTGGTATCTATGAATTCAATTCAATTATCTATAACTTTGCCATTTGAGCCATACTTCGCCAATGTCACATATGACAAAGACACGAATATTGATCATTGAAATATGTTTATTATAATAAGTTTTATTTTTATTTATTACATTATAAAGAATTTTGTCAAACAAAATATTTGCAGTAAACTTGTTAATATTGTCATGCGTAGGGTATCATAAATTTTACGATGTTGATAGCGATTATCACTTTGTCCACTATACAAGATACGTTACGCTGGCCCAGTAAGTACTGATAATAACATTTTTTTTATGATATTACAACTAGTATTTGATGGATATCACTTGACCAAATTTTATATTGATGCCATGGAAATATACGTAATTGCAAATCATTTCGACCGTCGCTCGCGTTAATTTAGTTTTATGTGATGTGTTTTTTTTATTGGTATTATTTGACAGGTAAGGGTTTGTCCCGCTGGAGCATTTTAAGATGTTTTATAGATTACTTCATAGATATTATATTATATATTCTATCATAATAATAAATTTTTTATGATAGAATTTTTTTAAGATGCGATGATAAGACCGTAGGTAGTGTTAGCTTAAATAAACAAATATAAATAGCTTTTAATATGTGAAGTAACATTTTAATATGTGAAGTTTGCCTAATTTATTAAAGAAATATATGAGTAACTTTATAATATGCAAGACGCCTTAATCACAAACAAATTTTTTAGTTACCTGCATAAAGTTTTTTAAATAGGGCTTAAGTCAAGATAAATATGCCACTGGAATACTCGAGATAGGGTTTTTAAAAGCATATGGATGTATAAAAATATATTTCTTTTTTGTTTATCAGTTCTTTATCGTCTTAAGAGCCTAAATCCTCGTTTCGAGACATTAGCGCGTATTACTGAATTATAAGAATATCTCAGAAATGTGTAATTTTATTGCAAGCAAACGTAAAAGTCGTTTTAATTGTATATAGATATTTTATGAAGGTTTTTTGCTAATTATTTCATGGATAAAATAAGATAAGACGTGAGGACCTTTGCCTGCTTTTTATTTGACAGTTATTTTTTAATATCCATTAATATAATACATCTTTACAAATATCTATATAATAAAAGTCAAAAATTTTGATATATAAATAAATATAATAATTAACACTCAATAAATGTTATCAAATACTTTATAGTTATAAAAAATAAGAGTTTATATAAAAACATCGCAAAAATTCGCGTAATAAAAAAGCAAAATGGCCGCACTTGAAAACATTTGCCACTAAAATTAAACACTGAACTTCTTTTATTACGTTAATTATGCATTCTCATGTTTATTCACACTGAATTTATTAGAATTTTATTAAATCGTAAGCACTAGGTCATCACGTCAATTGCTATTAATTTTATATTCAACTTCTAATTTATTTTATAGTAAATTATAAAATGGCGGATGATAGCAGCATCGCGCTTGGTCCTTTGCGGAGTAAACTGACTCCTTCCTAAGTTGGCGGTAAAAATATCTATTATTATTCAATAGATAAAATTGGAATGTATTGAAATTTTGATTGAATTACTAATTATAATTATTATTCTAATATTGGCCATGTTATCACATCTTTATCATTGTTGCTTAAACTATCATCTTTGGTAATGTTTAATTATTATTTAAAAATATGAAATATATACGAGATATTTTTAAATATAATAACAATTTGTATATATTTTTTTGATTTTTATATTTACCTACAGAGTTTTTAAATTTATTACGTTTATTGGTATATAGGCTGAATAGAACTTAACGCTTGCCTCTTTTATTAAATTAGTGTTATCTGTAGGTATAATACTAAACTATATTTATTTTTAAAGCAAACATAATTTTTATAGCATAATTATATTAGCTATATATATCTAAAAATTATCTTTAATTAATTTTTTTTATGTATTTTATTTCCAATAGTCACATTCTCATTATAATTAAAATATATGATTTAATTTATTTATGCAATAAACTTTATCTTTAAATGTAATAAATTCACAATTCTTATAGATATTATGAATAATGTACGATTAATTCAAATATAAACGCATATTATACAAGCATATATCCATATTTATATTTTAGCACATCAATCTTCACACTCTAATGATGTGTTAAATTAATTATTTTTTATTAAAATTAAAACAAGACAAAATACTCTTTTTTTTAAAGTGACATTTATTTTTACTGACAATGAAGTATCAATTTTTTAAAATAAATTGTAACATAAAAATAATCGGTTATACTGTATAGGACTAATGTCAAAATTTTTACAGTTCTTTTACATAATTTAAGGAAAATCAGATTTATAACTTTTTACATTTTTAGATATTTTTATATATACAAATAATTTTTAATCATAATTATTCCTATATACTATTAGATATAAAAATAAGTACACGTTGCAAGCCCGCGTCATTTACCGACGGCACTGATATGTTGTTAAATCAAAATGTCGCCGTGTAAAACATTTATCTATTATTTTTAATTTAGTACTTTATTATCGTGAAGCTACTTCATTTTTAATCAGTTTATCGTACAAAGATTAAATTTGTTGAAAATGAAACAACTTTTTATAAATTTGTATCTACTGATATCGATTATGTTTACTTTTCACACTCTACAATAATATTTGGAGGACTGATATTAAAAATGCACATCACTTAAATGTTTAAAAATTATTTGTTATGAAGCCACTACGTTACATTCATTAGGTAATAAATCAAACCGTCCCGATTTATTTTCAAAAGCAAAACTTCACTAGTACCTACTCGATTATTTATTATTAAAACATGTTATACTTTATAAACGGGATGTCCCCAATATAAAAGGAAGATTAAATCCACTACCTGGCTTAGCAAAAACAATGAAGCCCTGAATCTTTTAGAAAGTCCCATTCCGTTAGGGTATTTTTGTGGCGCGAACAAACTTTTTTCTTTTCATTGTCAATTGAATTTTATTGTTGGTTTCCGAGATAGGCCCTTTTGTGCTCAACCGTGCGTTTAAAGCCGCTTGTAGCTGTATGGCGTACCTACGGGGTTCGTCACCCATAAGAGCAGCCAGCGACAATGGAACCCCATGATGCCATTTTATCTTATTTATTGTGGAACATTTTTAGCCATCAGGTGTCCTTAACATTTTAATACGTAGCAATTTTCATCTTTCATTATATTAGTCTTCGACTCTACATTATAATATATAATATCAATTCATATTAGCTTATACATTTTTATTGCCCGAAAGACAGGTTATTGCATTAAGATCGTGTTATCTAAGCTTTTATGTGTATAAAGCGCTCATTTTGTTTTCATTATCATCAGTAATGCGTCGGTGGTGATTCCACGCATTTTAAACCACAATTAAGTATTCAGAGCGTGTTCGACTTGTTAAAATAGCTCCCTTGACGGGACGCGCCAGTATATTGTTTCGGACATACTTCCCAAATCTTTAAACGACACTGATTTTTTTATACATAGATATGTGGATGTTTATTTTAACTCTTTATTGTACAACGCGACTCTACCCTATATCTATCGATGGTATCATGTGTTTATACTGAACATACCGTTTAAGCTCTCATAGCCTACTGTCAAACTCACGTGTTACAAAAACACTTGTACATACCCTAGGCTGAGCCATGAAAGCTCGGCCCGAGCCCGGGTGTAAAGCTCCGCTGGCCACCACGAACGTTTTTATGGCCTAACACACCACACAAGCACGTGAACACTGACACATATACACCGTCACAGCGGCCCGCTAGCTCACTAGTGTCATAATGCACTCGCGGTAGAGTTTTGGAAGGTCGGAATCGCGTGGCCGAGCAGGCGCGGGGTGCGGGAGGCCCGGCGCGCTCGGCAGTCTGGCGGACACTGGCGAGGCCCGCTGTAGCAGGCCGCCGCGGGGCGTGCCTGGCGTGCAACGCCGCCCAATCGCGCTCTACCTCGCCGCCCCCCGCGCCCCCCACCACCCCCCGCCGCCGCACCCCCCACCGCGCCCTCACCTCCTCACGTCGATCCTCGCCACTCCTCAGCACACCGCCGAATGGCAAACACGTGCTAAAATGCCAATTTTTGGACGTCTTTGGATGTTTTAGACTATATAGCTAGTTATAATCAATTGTTGGCTCTACATTTATTCTATGTATTTATTACGGTATGAATGCTTCGTGTATTGATTTATATGAATTTTTGTTATTTATTTAATGTGAATTTCCATTTCGAGGATGGTTGGTGAGAGTCAAAATACGAGTACTAACGTTATCGAGGAGCGAACTGGTAATACAATTACATAAAACATGTATTGAATAATTTAATTAAAATAGATTCTTTTTATAGATAGAACATAGATTTAAAGTTAAGATTGTAAGATATTTGCTTTTAAGTGTCTTTTGAAACCACATTAGATGAGAACTGCAAAAAATACGCATGATTTTTTTTAATTTCAAATATATTTATCGTTGTATTACTAAATGTCAGGTATGGTATCTAAATGTTATTTTAACGAAAAAAAAACTCTTTTTCTAAATCTGTTTATATTTAAAAGTTATAGGTATTTTATGTGATTTTGCATTGATACTTGTTAGTAATAATCATTATGAAGCAAATATTGAAAATAACTATTTGTAATAAAATAAAATTTATCACTCAAACGTTTTCGATTGTACTTTGCGATGTGATTAACAGGATTCTAAAAGCTTTTGCTTTTTAATATAAAATGGGTAATCAATACATTAAGAATAATCTTTTATTTAGAGATGTCTAAACTCTACTATGTAGAGATAGATATTAGAATAAGTTTAAGGACACTTTATACTCTACATGTAATTTGTACATCTTTTGCCTATACCATTTGAATTTACATAAGTAAAAAATATGACGGGCTGGAATAAATAAAGAAATTAAATATATTTAGTATGTTATAAAATAAATAATAACTTAACAGTTTTTACTGATAGGAATCTGTCTTAAAATGGTTTTTTTATTGCCATTCAGTATACCTGCTTACCTATAAGAAGATTATAAGTATTATTAGATGCTTTGAAGCATTAATTTAGATTGCTTTTAGCAATCGTTTTCTATTTTTACTTTACTCTAAAACTATTAAAAATTTTATACTTTAGATTATTCATAATTAAGAAAATTTCATATTTAGAAAGATATTTATTATTTTGAAAATAGCCTATAATAGTAGGTATATTGAAAAAAATATATCTCTAGCCTATACGTGAGAGATTTTTACATTTAATTTACGGGACAGATATAGATTTAAAAAATAGTAGAAAGGGCGTAGCAGTCCCGAATGGAAAACTTTGCGATAACCTAGACTGCATAAATTTATACAGCCCTAGTATTTACTTGCTGCTCACTTCGCGTGATAGGTACATGGAATACGCAAATCTGTATAGCAGTTACAGCGTGATAAAGTAACAAACATACTTAAAACTTTAGATTTTGTATATTTACTAGCGACTTCACTTCACTTGGGTTATAACTATATAGGTACAAATATATACCTATATAGTTATTAGCCAGCGTTAGCCATAATAAAAATTTTTTTCGTTAATTTTTCCGATGTTTTAATAGTTATTCTACTATTCGGGATAGAGATAAATCCAACAAATCAAATATCATAGAAATCGGTCCAGCCGTTCTTTAGTTATCTAAAGTGTAACTAGCCCGACTTTTTTTATAATATATAGATTATACAATATATAAATTCATATTGTATACCGTGACTCTCGCCGCAATTAGTTTTCAATATATCAATTTGAACTCTAACCACTAAAGTCAAAAGAAATGATTTCGTTTACACAAATTTATTATAATTCTTTCCTATCTTAGTGCCTAGTGAATTGAACATTTTTTTATACATCGCCCTTTGTCTCACCAACCAATAATTGTATGTTTAAAAGTACTAAAATTAAATAGTTAAAAATATTTTTTTTGGAAATCTATTCCAATATTATAAAGAGTAAAAATTTGTTTGTTTGTTTGTATGGAATAGACTCCGAAACTACTAAACCGATTTAAATATTTGGTAAGAAGGTAGTTTGAGATCCTGGGAAGGACATAGGATAGTTTTTATCCTGGAAATCATCTCTTAACCCCTTAAGAGATGATTTCCAGGAAAAGTTTGTATGGGGCAGCAACCTAGGGACGAACCCGAGCGAAGCCATGGTGAGTCGCTAGTAAGTACAAAATATTTTGACTTTATTTTACTTACCCAAAAGACATAGGTACCTACCTACACATAATTTAAAATTTATAAAATTAGTTATTGTAAACCTATGTTCGTCTGTAGCATAGTGCTTTTTAAACGATGTAATTTTCAGCCCCCTTTCTTTATAAAGCTTACTAATCCTTATTTCCTTGATGTAATAAATGCGATAGTGTGTTTCTTACTTTATCGGCTTATACTTTTGTCACACGGAGCAACGTATTGATATGGAATTTTAAATAACACATTTTAGATTTTTTCGTGTTTTTATTTTGATTTTTTGTTTCCGACGTTTGGAATGCTTTACAGCAAACATGATCACGGAAGAGACTAATATTTTTGATGACTTAAAAATTATAGTTAATACAGACGGTGTAAATACACACAATTGTGCGATAATTTGGAAGGAAAGAGAAATGGCGCTGAAGCACTTTGTTTATAACTAGCGACGCACCCTCGCTCCGCTCGGTTTCGTCCTTAATTTCGTTTTAACGTTTATTATAGATTTCTCAGAGATGAGATATTTTCCCGCAGTAAAAAGTATCCTATATGTTGACCCGGACGAGCAGCTATCATCATACTAAATTCATCAAAATCTGCGCAGTGTTTTTCTCGTGATGCATTCTCAAACAGACAGATAGACAAAAATTATAAAAACTTTAGATTCGGCCTGTGTGTCGATAACAATGACTATTTCAATAAGATATTCCAAAAAATATTTAATGTACAGATTCGACTTAGAATTTTATTTTATGTATAGATTTTTATATTAATTAGGAATCAAAATAAAATGTTGGAAAAATCTAAATAAATAATTTGATTAGTACGTCAATCATTCATTAAGATAGTAATATTTTTTTAATATAGTTTTTAGCACAACGATAGTTTAAGCGCTTGAGTAACATAGTCCACTTATTAACTTCAAGTTTTCCATTGGAACAACACTCTGTTTATTACAAAGTAGAAACAATCTTAAGGAGGACGTTAGATATTTTATGTACACTTATTTATATAGAAATTAATTACTAAGCCATTTATTATTTTATGTACAGTCAACAGATAATGCAAAATTATTTTATTTAAAGCAAATATGTCATCCAACGATAATTATTTTTAATATTTGATTACAAAAAATTTTTTTACTAAAAACCTTCGCGAACACAACTCACCAAAGTTTCATCACAATCGGATGAATGTTTTGGAGACGCATAGATTAAAAATATATAAAGAAATATTCACTGATAAATTACTTATTAGTTATTGCTAATACAATTTTTAAATACTATTCGGACGAGCTCTAGCTTTTACAGTAAAAGTCTTCATATTTAACTTTGTTTCATAGTTAATATTTAATTATAATACCATTTAACTGCCTCGGTGGTGTAGTGGCTAGCATGTACAGCTGCACACTCGGAGGTCCTGGGTTCGAGTCCCAGGTCGGGCCAAGTTTAGTTATTGAGTCTTTCTGTATACTAAGTCTCAGTAACAGCCCGGAGTTGGGAAGTTGTCGGTGTTACACCCCCGTGCCTCGGAGAGCACGTAAAGCCGTCGGTCCTGCGCCTTAACTCTCACTGGTCGTGTCGAGCAGTCGTCCCACCGGAATATGAGAGTGACAGGAACAGAGAGTGCACCTGTGTCTGCGCGTACACTTGTGCACTATAATATCTCCTGCGCAGTTGGCTAGTCTCAATGAGATTGGCCGCCGTGGCCGGAATCGGTCAGGAGAACATCATAATACCATTTAGGCTTCAAATTAAAAATGTTAATATCTTCTATTTAAAGTTATAACTTTTATTACTTTAGTTTAGTTGATATCCAGTAATTTGTCTATTATATAAATATTGCTTTCGCGTACAATTTCATAACAATATCACTTATTATATGTTAAGAAATACGTAACACTTTTCAAACTACCGTGATGTATAAACTGAGTTCTAATTTAACCAAGTTTCTTAACCGTACCTATGAAACATATAGCAATCTATACATATAATAAAATTCTGAGTCGAATCTGTACATTAAATATTTTTTTGGAAATCTTATTGAAATAATCATTATTATCGATACAGAGGCCGAATCTGTAGTTTTAAAATTTTTGTCTGTCTGTCGATCTGTCTATCTGGGATCGCATCACGAGAAAACTACTGGACTTTGATGAAATTTGATATGATGACAGCGAGTTATCCGGGTCAACATATAGGATACTTTTAACTTCGGGAAAATATCTCATCTCTGAGAAATCTATACTAAACTTTAAACCGAACCTAGGAACGGACCCAAGCGGAGCGAGGGTGAGTTGCTAGTACATAGGTATGTACAATATTACTTCATTGACCAACATACAGTTAAAATGTACCGTAACCACTAAATTAATAAGCTTAGATATTATTTCTTCAATAGCTAGCAATATATGAGTAATATAGTTGTTACAACATTGTAAATGTGTTTATATTTTAGATCTAAGTGACACATAACGTAATGCAAATATTTTCTAAATTACAATGATACTTTCTTATCTATCAATATATCTATTAGGTATAATATACATACGTATAACAGATCGCTGTCTGTACATAAAAGATGTTTGAGAAAAACTATTGTTGAGGGCCTTTATTTAACGCAATATAACCCAAAATAATCATTTTTAGAATTTTTGTCTGTTTGTCTGTGCGTTTGTGCACGTTAATCTCAGAAACGGCTTAACCGATTTAGGTGCAGTTTTCACTAATGTATTGTGGTAAGCTTCACTTAACATTCAGTATTTGTTTTATTTCAATCACCTTATAAATAAAAAAGTTCTGTTAGTTCAAAGAATCACTTAGGGACAAACCCGAGCGAAGCAAGGGTGAATCGCTAGTATGTAAATATAAATGATATGCTGTTTGTCGGTAAGCACATCTCTTGAGAACGGATGGACCAATTTAATGAATTATTAACTATTTTAAATTTAAGGTTTTCAGGAAAAAAACGTAAAGACGTTGCCCGGACTCGCAAAGCATGGGAAATTTAAGGGATAAATGAAAGTGTTTTTTCTATAGCTTATAAGTTATCTGAACTCAAAGATCACAAAGGAATCTACACAATAAATAGGCAAAAACAAAACAGTTCAGAATTTTTTTCTCCTCTGTTTGTTAACCGATAGATTTCATTTTGTTTAGTAGTTATTGACGCTATCAATAAAAAAAAAATATTGTCGATATTCGACACTCGATGAACACCAGTTTAATATTTGTCAAGACGTCTGTTGTATCTTATATACTGTACGTATTATATATAACTGTTCTTCCTTCTCTCCAGCCACAGCCATTACGGGGTTAAAAAGTAACAACATACCCTCATCCTGTATTTCGCATAGTCGAATAGATCCATCTAGATATTAGTTAATACTAAATACAGCATAGATTTTTTATATTTATATTTTTTCGAATTCTTTCGCAGATTTATTTTGTTTTCTTGGTTCCGAATGCTTTACAGCAATCATTGCCACGGGAAAGACTTCTGTAATGTAATGATTTCTTTAAAGCATTCGAAACGCCGGGAACCAAAAATCTTCGCGGAAAATATCCGACAAGTAAATTTTATTTAAAATATTAAATATTTGCGTAAGTTTATTGGCTATTGGCTGAGAACTTCGTAAACACCTAAGTGAAGTCACAGACAGTAGCTAAAGTATTATAAATTATAATATGCACGCAATATTTAAAATGTGCAGCTAGAAATACTTTACACGCTACGTTTTAACGAACGTTTGCAAAGTTCACAATGCTAACGATTAATATTGTTTTTTTACAAACTATCCAAGCGTAGCACCGGAGTGAGAAGCGTCGTTCTTACTTCATAGATTTTAATATTAAATTCATAATAATAAGTAAACTAGTTCTATTTAGCGGTTTTGCTTCACGGTTAAAATAGAAAATAGTGTTCAATGAACAAACTATCTGCTAATGAAAGTATCATTAAAATCGGCTAAGCCTTTTCATAGATAATCAAAAATAGAATAATTATTACAAAAAGATTTTTCTATATCGGATTTTATATTATGTCAATGTAGGGTACTTATTTTTATAACGATTTCTAAGGCAAAATATTGTAACTTAGTTTATTAATCAATTTTAATATGAACTTTAAATATTTAAAAGAGAATTAAGTGTATTTTTAAATTTAAGAGTTACAATGTTATTCCTTGCAGGTGTCAATACCACAGATAGATATATTAATTTTATTTATAAACTAGCGGCTCACCCTCGCTCGGGCTTGCCTCTCGAAAAGCACAAACACTAAACAGATCTATCCCACGGGAACTCTTTCATTTTCCAGGATAAAAAGTATCTAAGATGTTGCCCGGGGATATAAGGTATCACCATATAAAATTTCATTTAATTCGGTCCAATAGATTCGAAGATTAGCCCGTACCTACAAACAGACAAACAGAGAAACGAAAAAATCGAAAAAAATCTGGACTTGTTTTATTTCTCTCCTTACACCCCCCTGACTTGGTTTTTAGTTTTTTTTTTCTATGTACAGTACATTCGACCTCTAAAGTTTTATTATATGTATAGATACACTTGTAAGTACATTAAATAAATTGCTAAAAAAAATTGATAAATTATATACATGTATTTTTTTATGTAGTAAGATAAGAACTGTCATAATCTGACACAGCGCAAGTAAGATTTTGAAATCTGGACAGAAATTCTATTTGTTTTTAAATATCCTTCATTGTTTTTACAACTTTTCCATTCTACGTGACATTGGCGAAGTAATCTGTGCTCAACAGGCACGCTTTGATGCCAAGAATTGAATTGAATTGTTTTTAAAGCAATTGTTTCTATTATAAATATTATCATTGTTGATAGTAACGATAAATTATATAATAACAATTTATTATTTATAATTTTATTATTTACTGTAAAATGTTACTTATATTTCATCTTTCGTTAATCGCTATATAAGGAATAACGCATAAAATTATATATGTATATACATTATGCTTCAACCAGTCAATTGTCCAACATTTTATTTTCATTTTATTCCTTATTTACTACTAGCGGTTCACCATCGCTTCGCTCGGGTTCGCCTTAAAAAAACGAAAGCTAATCTATCCCACGGGACCATACATTTTTCCGGGATGAAAAGTATTCTATGTGCTATTCTATACTATAATCTATCTCTGTGCCAAATTTCATCTAGATATATATATATGTTAGTTTTTAAGGTACTATATATGTTATGGGCCTCTGTTTACATATTTAATAAATCTTTTTGTAAATATTGCCTGAAATAAATGATTAAATTAAATTTAAATTAAAAATTAAGCACCAGATGCGGACTGAGTTCTACGTTTTAGAATATTTTATAACACAACAAGTTTTACCGTAAACAAGAAAGAAAAAACTAAAAAAAGGCATTCTAACATAAAAAAGAGTTAAAAAATTATTAAAAAAAACCTTACAGTTCACGCAATTCAGTCACGAATGAAGTAAAACAATGGGATTGTAAATTTTTCGCTATAATTGCGTGTCGGGAATCGAAGGCGTTACCGCCCCGCCCGGTTTGCTTTGCGCTAATGGTATACGTTATATATGATGTATTCTGCATTATTAATATTAATTATCGCTAATGTCTAATATAGTTGTATTACATTTTTTAAAACCATAGGAATTTTTTTAAGTATTTACTTATAAGTTAAAGAAAATATGTTTTTAGAAGACGTGTTCGAATGTTTATACTGCGAGAACTTTTTCAAAAATCAGTAGGTATACTTACAGTTGCATATATATTTTAATATTATGTTTGTCCGACAAAAAATGAATGGCTATTGAAGACCGTGACAGACACGAAATAAACACTAGAAATAAGGATAAACTGGTAACGCCTAGCTTTCGCCTTCAAAAAGTGAATAGCCCGTTTATGGGGCAAGGTGTATGCATTTATAATAGAATTCCACTGTCGATATGGAGCTTCCTATTTAAACAATTTAGGTTTAAAATTAAAAATATATCTATACTTATCTCTAGATCTACTGAACCGATTTAGATGAAATTTGGTAAGAAGATAGTTTGAGACCTTGGAAAGGACATAGCATTCTTTTTATCCCGGAAATCATGCCTTAAGGGGTAAAAAAGGGGTAAAAGTTTGTATGGAGAATCAATTATAATATAATAATATTATTTAGTAAAGCTTATTACACCATCACGGAATACTTTGTAG